AGCTGCTAGTGGGCTGAGCAGCCCCAGAGCTGTTGGAGGGCCCCAGTCCATCCCTCTGCAGCAGTGGGGCCACCTGGGCAGGCTGCTAGTGGGCTGGGTGTTGCCCCAGCTTGATCCAACCATTCCCTGAGCCCGCCTGCTAGAAGCCTGCTCCCTGGGCAGGCTCAGGGAACCAGTTGGAGTGGGCTGGATGCTGCCTCTGAGCTGGGGCAGCACCTGGCCCACTAGCAGCCTGTCCAGATGGCCCCAGGGGATGCCACAACTGCAGGGGGAAGGACTGGGGCCCCTGCTGCTCAAGGGCAGCTTGGCCCTCTTTCAGGTCACCCCCTAGCTGTGGGCAAGTTCCGGCTTCAACAAATAAAAAGGATCGGGCCCATCACTGTAACATGGCAGGGAAAATTGAAATGGTGGGTTTCAATTAAAAACCCACTGTTTCAACTCAGAGGGCATAGAATAAAACATTGGGGATTAAACCCCCATCATGTGTGCAAGCACCCATGGGGAGATGTACAGTGAAACAGTATGTTGCACCTAAAAGTGCTATATTGCTTGCTGCCCATCGTGACCTCAGGCCACAAAATCGAACTCATCTTTGCCACACAAAGGAGATGAAGAGGCCAGGTGAAAGGAGGAGTTGTAAACTTCTGCTCTGTGCACTACATTGGCTTCTCAGGACAAGACTGAGAAGGGGAATGGATGGATGAATGAATGCATGGTATCTTGTTTTTGGCATTATTTAAACAAAGGATGCTTGTAATATTGGAGCACATGATAGAAATGAACCTGAGGCATTTGGAAAGAGCAAAATTAGTTAATTAAAATTTATATTGTTGTTTTTGCCAACTAGTTGAAATAGTATGGCCAGCCTAGTTGTCACTTCTTTTCACTCAGTAATTTCTGTGTTGCTTTGCTGCCAAAGTTTTCCTTTGTCATGCTGGAGACATGGCTAAATTGAGTTACTTGGCTGGGACGAGGTTAAATGAGAGATGAAAGTGAATACAGGCAACCCTCACTTAGTGCTTTTAATTGGTTCCCCAAAAAATCAAGCGTTAAGCGGAACAGCGTTTAAATGAAACCCTTTTTCCCATAGGGATTAATGTAAATAAATATAATTCGTTACTAGGGTGCCCAGCAGCAGCGACATGAGCACCTGGTAGCTCAGGCCCAGCTCACCTGATGCTGTGCCATTTCTGCCTGCCCAGGCCCAGGCTGCAGAGGTGGTGCTGTTGGTTCCCTCCATGATGGACAGCAGGCAATGGGGGTGGTCACAGCTACAGTCATGGTCACTTCAGGCTGGCTCCGCCCAGCCTGGCTCCATAGAGCTCCTGCCAACCTGGACCCCACGCTCCTGCCACCCCACCCTGGGACCCCGCTGGCCCTGGCCCAAGGGCAGCAGTGTGGGCCCCACACTCACACCTGCCCACCTACTCATCTCTCCATCTGCCGCCACCATTTCCCTGCTTTCCTGCCCACCACCACCTCTTCTCCCCACCCCACCTCCACCCACCCACTGTCTGCTCTGGCACTATGCGATTCCTGGCTGGACCACTGTGTTGATAACTGAGTTTCCCTCTCAGGAGAGTTATAACAAAACTCGCTGAGCAGTAAGTGGAATCAGATATGAATGTAAAATGAACGTTATAATGAAGTAGCGCTAAATGAAACAGCATTAAGCAGGGGTTGCCTGTAGTTTAAGGTCACCAAGAGCCTGGTAATGGGCTCTATAGGTATTTAGACTGGTCTCTGAAGTTAATAATGACTAGAGTAATGGCCTGATATACTGCCCACCATAGTTTTGGAAAACTTCTGTCTGAAGTTCTGTCTCCAGTAAAATGCCAGCATTTTTAAAAATGCCTCTATCTGCAAACATCTAACATGTAAAATATTTCTAAGTACCTCTGGCAAGACTGTTATACCATTTCTAGTGTGGACATGCTTTCCCTTTTTCTTTTGGGAAGAAATAATGTTTTTTTTATGGAAGGCATGATAAACTGAAATGCTTTTCTAATAGCATTTTTAAAACAAGTAAATGACCAAAGATCTCACTAATTCCTCATGCTTTAAGTCAAGGTTGCCCAGTCTGTGGTGCACAGCAGATCCAGTAGGGAACAAGCATAACAACAGTAGGTAAGACCAGTGGTAGAAATCAGAGCAGCAGACCAGGCAGGGATGGCAGAGCAGAAAACAGCAGTGGATCAGGGAGAGGAAGGATATCAGAGTGGCACTGGGGAAGGGTACAGAGCTATGTGGCATGTCTGCCAAAAAGGTTGGCCCCCACTGCCTTCAATGATCAGATTTTATTATTTGTCTGAACATAATCAGCGTAGTAGAAGTAAATGGGAAATATAAACCTTATTGAGTATTGTGTAGTAGGTACAATCGTTAACAAGGTTAAATTGCCAAATGCATGTGTGGCAAAGTGGGTGTCCCTGGCTAGTCACAGAGCTAGTTTCCCACCTGCCTCTGGGCACACCGCTCACCTATCTCACCCACCACACCTTGTTGTTAATTAATTAAGGCTGTCAATTAAGGCAGGAGGCTGCCCATTTTATACCCCAATCTTGGAGAGGCTGTCCGCAGCTCTATTCCCCCCCTACAGATGCCATCTCAGGTAGTTGGCTCAACCATCCCCATCACCCATTAGCTGTGGCCCCCAATCATGGGGACCTTCGGCTTCTGTAAGCCCTGGCCCAGTCTCAGGCCAGTTGGGACCCCGAGCTTCTTTGCTTATTATGGGTACCCCTCACGGTAGGCCCCTGGCCCTTTTGACCCTTCCTGTCCTGGCCCCAGCATTGACCAGTCGTGTGTTTCGGTTGGGTTTTCACCTCCTGCCTGCACTTAGGGATCGGGGTCCCCCATTCCCAGCTCAGGTGCTCCTGGAAGTGTGTCTGGCCCTGAGGGGTCACTCTCCCAGCAGGTTAAGGCACCTTCAGAAACTTACCTGGCCTACCCTGCTCTGGTGTTATATGGCCCACCCAAAGGTGAGGGCTGGGGTTAAAGCACCCCTACTCGCCTTTCACTGGGGTGGTAACTGGCTTGGCATTTCCTGGGGGCTCCCATGCCACTGAGAGCCACCCACTCCCAACAGGGTACAGTTTTAGGTCATGTCCAGGACCAGGAGCCTCCAAACCATCCCCTACAGCTCCTGCCCTTACCTCCAGGATGTTGTATTCATCCTAGCAGCCAGACAGTGTTACTACCAGGCCTGCCAGCAGTGAACTGCCCTGTTTAAATAGGCAGCCATGGATTTAAAATGGCTGCCGCAATTGGGCACCTGCTGGCTGCTTGGCTCGGCCCTTGAAGTTATTAACCATAACACAGCATGTTATGGTTAATAACATTAATCTTTGATGTGTACAAGTTGGAAAATTTTGCAATATAACATAATATATTTTTCTATTTTTTCAGTCCTGCAACCACTTACATGCATGTGCAAGTTAAATATGTCCCTATGTGTTTATAGATTCAGGTCATAATTGTGTATCAATTATTTATAGCATCATGGTGGAATAGTGATACTGCACTAGAGACGCTATCTTTTTTTTTGTAAAAATATTTTAATATATTTTTGCAGTAGTAGCTCTTCTTGTAATGATAACTGCTTCTGTATTTCGTTGTTCTAGAAGATTACTATAAAAGAGTCTTGAGAGCTTTTCAGTTTCTGTTAGGGAGTTTCATTTGGCACTTCCAAAAGATACTGTGTTCATTATTATATTTGCCAGTTCTTGTTACATTTTTAACTGAACCAGTTATTAGAATAACCATTTTGGCGAAAAAGTCTGAACAGTAACATTTAGTTTGAGGAAGAAGCATGCTGGGATTTGTCACAGTTAACATGCTTGCTGAATTTTAGCATCAGACAGTGCTTGACCAAACTATATCGCAGTGGAATTTACACTATAATTGCTCACCCTTTTCAACTGTAGTCAAGTATCAAAGGTTATTCCATGTTCATTTCTCTTTCTGTCATGAGGTTCTTTTCTTCCATTTACAGTCAGAGAACGAAAGAAACTACCACATATTCTATCAGTTGTGTGCATCTGCTCTGCAACCAGAATTTAAGCCTCTTAAATTGGGTAGGTTTCAAATAACTAAGTTATTTTTTAACCTCGCAAAGGTATTTTTTAAGGGTTTTTCCCCCCCAAACCACTCAAACCTTTATTGGGAAGTGCAGCATATAAATCTAATAAACAATAATTAATCTAATCGGAAATTTGCTATTGGCTTTCAGAGCACAGGGTTAGGCAATGCGTCTCTGCACATGTTTAATGCAGTGCCAGGCACTTTTAATTAGCTCAGCTTGCTAATTAAAAGCTCCCAGTACCACATCTGGAGCACATGTAAAAATGTCCACCATGCCTACCATTGGCACCCTCCTCTGAGCAAGATGCCACCTCAGCCAGAAGCAGTGCAGCTATGTGAGTGTGTTACTTTGGGCTGGGTACCTCTTGCTTCTGAATGACAGGGTCAGTAGCCTGCTCTCATGTTAACTAACCTGCCCATGTCCTGGTACAGACACAACCACAGTGTTTCCAGCCTTTGAAAATTCTACTGCACCACTTCATTTAGTGAAGGTTGTCATAGTGATAGCCTTGGAGACTGATGGTTTCTCTGTTCTACTTGTTCTAAAGTTCTACCTGTTAAAAACCCTAGACCTATATGACTGTTGTGTCTCCATAACAGTTCTTCAGCCCTTCTGCTGAGAGTGTCAACCAGAGTGCTGGTCAGTGCCACTTGTGCTGGTTTTATCATGGATTCCTGCCTACTACTAAGTGGACTCAGGTCACCAGCTCATTTTAGAATTCCTGACAGACAGCCGCAGTTTACATTTTTACTGACCTTGTGGTGAAAGATTCTCTGTCCTGGTACCAAACTTGTTCAGTGTTGTCAGTTTTACCTTTCATCTGCAGGGAGTGCAGAAGAATTTAATTATACACGAATGGGTGGCAATACTGTTATTGAGGGAATCGATGACAGAGCGGACATGGTGGAAACTCGGAAAACGTTCACTCTACTAGGTAAATAAGAATACTTGACCTGAACTAAGAAAATAAGTTCTGAAATGACCAGAGAGATGCATATGCTTTAAATAACTGGTGAGTTTGTGTAGTAATTACATAAACATAGCAATTAGCAGTTTACAAGTTGGTATTTATTGTGAATGATATAAATCAGCTAGGGCTAGAGTCTGACTCACCTTTATGCTGGCATCAAGTAAAGAAAAGGTAGCATAGAGCCTTCCTTATCCTTGTGTGCCTGACGTAAAGGCCACAGAGAATTGTAGCTCCTCTGTTCATGAAAGTACTTGAATTTATTCCCCTGCTGCCAAGATTGAGAAGGGTAGAAAAATAGGCAGAAATATGTCTGTGAACAGCAAGCAGTGAAGCCCTATGGAATTACAAGGGATACAGACTGTAGCTGTATTGATCTACAGGCAAAAGCAATCAGAACTCTGGGTAGAGGTGATAACTTTTATTAGACCAACTAGATATTTGCAAAAAAAATATTTTCTTTGCAAGCTTTCGGGCGCACTCAGAGAAGAAGGGTGTGTGCGCCCGAAAGCTTGCAAATAATTTTTTTTTGCAAATATCTAGTTGGTCTAATAAAAGATATCACCTCTACCTAGAGTTCTGATCCCATGGAATTACTAATTTTTTGAAGCAGAATTGAAAGTGTTCCAAGATCTTGCTTTTCATCAATAGATTTTGTTTTTTTACTATATTTAAAAAATATCTCTTTGTTTTAGGTCTGAAGGAAGATTTTCAGATGGATGTTTTTAAGTTACTGGCAGCAATCCTGCACTTAGGCAATGTGCAAATAATGGCTGTTGGTGATGACAGATCATCAGTCAGTGTAAGGAATCTGTTCATTCATTCAAATATCTGCTAACTTTTTCTTTATTTGCCAGGCAATTGCTAATCCTCTCAGATGTGTCCGAGACACCTAGAATATCTTTCCTCAGTCTCCATGTTACAGGTTGCCTTGATGCATCCTTTTATTTGTGAGACATTTCTTGTAAAAATCTTTGGTCTCAGTTCTGGGATTTGGACATCAGCTCTAAATCTGGCAAATTAAAGTTACTTCACAATGTCACTTGCCTAATATAATTCTCAGCTGAACACTCAAGATAGTTGCTTTTAAGCCAGTGCTGTTAAGACGATGCATGCTCGAGGTAAAGAACAAGGAGAAGGATGTGGTCAGCATTCCCGTTTC